CTCTCAGTGCTCAAGGAACTTTGCTACACAAACTGCAAAACGAATGTAGCCGATGTCCTATCAAAAATATGAACTCTTATTCTGTTTAGTTAAAACTTTTATACCAATGATTCCAAAAATAACTCTATCATTAAAAAAAAAACAACAAAACAAAACAAAAAATCTCCATGCATACAGTTTATACATTTTGGACAAAGCTGACTGAAAAAGTTCCTGACTGAAAAGTGAGACTCTGGGACGAGATGCGAGACACTGCACAAAGCTACCCAAAAACAGTTGATGCTAACCTGGTTGCATTTGGGGATGGACCCTCTTTGCGTATTTACTAGCCACAAGACCACAGCTCTCGTACGAGGAAATTGGCAGCTCTGATCTATCTTGAAAATTTGCGGTAATCTTAGAAGCAGGTGAAGAAAAAAAAAAGGGCGACGTTATCCCAGTTGTGATCCACCGAGTGCCTTAAAGCTGAAAAATACATTAAATAAATTCAAACTGTGACACCGGTGTGACGCTTTTCACTGTGTGGTAAAATACTTGTGAGTTCCTGCACCAAACAGCACCTGAGAAGACGAAATGAAAAAGACAAAGTTGTGGTTTTACGGGAGGATTTGCGTTGGATTAGTCCTGTAAAACCAGAACTTGTCGTTACAACTTAACTTCAGATTTTTTTAACATTTTAAATATATTTTGATCATATTATGTTCATCAGACAGCTTTAAAGTTGCTGGTAGGCAGATTCTGTTACGCCAGTTTTAACTGTTTCCCTCTGTTCTTAGTGTTTATGCTAAGCTAAGCTAACCAGCTGCTGGCTGTATGTTCGTATTTAACCGACAGATGTGAGCGCGGTCTCCGTCTTCTCTTCTAACTCTTGGCAAGAAAGCTCCTAAGCCCGTTTTCCAAAAATGTGTTCATTTAAAAGTTAGAATCACCAAATATTAAGAACTAAAAAATAGTGAGATGACTTGCAAAAATTAAATCTGATGGAAGGATCCAATCAGCTGTGCAAAATCTGATCATTTAACTGATACTCGAAACAAAAATTAAGCAGACAAGTAAAATCTCATCAAGTAAGAAAAATCATTGGTATTTGAGCTGGAAAAGACTCGGCAGCCATGAAAGGGGACGCTTTGCTGCTCAGGAGCAGCTGCTCGTTCAAAAAACACAAATGTTTAAACAGTTACAGTAAAAAGCATCTTGGTAGAGAGTAGTGAAAATGAGAATAACGGCAAAAAGTTAGCTTTAGTTTTATAAATGAACTTGAGTTTCATCCCGGACAGGAAGTTCCCTTCCAACCCTGAAACTTCAGCAGATACCCGTCACTTTTTTTTATTTGCAGAATAACTTGAATGAAGAGGAAGCTCTAGATGAGTACACAGAGTACAGCTCTCCACATTTATCCAAACACATTGATGGGCCTCGTGCAAGAAACACCCGTATGAACACACTCTAGGCCAATTACCACAATTTCGTTTTCAACCATTTACAATGATGAAGAAGTATTAATGACTGGTGCAGACCTGTCATACGAGTCATATACAGCCCTGCAAAAATACTTGGGAGACTAAAATCTGATGAAACCTTCAATCGTGTTTTGTGGTTTGAAAGTTAACTACACTTCTTGCTGAACTAATATTCCTTTTCAGCACATCACCAGAATCATGGCTGCCAACTTACACTTAAGGTTTGACAACTATTTTTATTAATAGATTTTGCCAATTCATACAATTCAGCTGCCTTCAGCTGGTCTCTGTCCAGGAGTTGTAACACCTTCATGACTGCCATGTCCACTTACTCACCAGACAATGTTTAACATCTAACAGCATGTCAGAATATTCCTTCTTTATTTCTGTCACCTTCGCTCTGACCACTCAGTGTCGGCAGCTGTAATTAATATTTTGGAATTGTTTCGGTTCCTCCAATACGACCGCTGCTCGAACACGTCGTGTTTTTTCTGCTGATTTCTCACGTTCCTCTTATTAATGCGAGATTGTTGGTTATGAAACCTGGCCCACATATGAAGCGAAACAGGTCGCGTTATATGGCAATTTATGAGCACTGATCACGCTAATTATGGCATCTCACAAATGTGCATGACGAGGTGTCATTCATCAGGATGAAACGACTCTAGTTTGTGCAGAGTTTGGTCGATCTGACTTGGGGAAATAAAGTCACAAGTTGAGGATAAGAATACAAAAATGTTCTTGCATGAGGCCAACTGTTTTCCTGTCGTCATAAACCAGCATGTGGAATGAAAGCATAGTACCTTTAGAAGAAATGAGATGCGATTTTTCTTTTCAACACTGTTATTTTGTTTTTTGTTTTTTTTTTTAGATTGGGCCGGCTACGTATGCAGTAGCACCTGATCATGTTGCTTTAATATCATCATTTCATTCAGTAAGCCCATATTAAAATACAATAAATACATCCAAATGAGAGACACTTTGATTCGAGTGTCTGTGGGAAACATTCACTGAGGTGCTCCCGGCTGACGGAGGCCTGCAGGGAGCCTGGAAGGCAGAGCAGAAGAAAACGGTTTGAATAGTTAAGTTGTATTTGGTCATGTTGTCGTATTCCTTGTTTAGTGTTTGGCTTCTTGTGTTAAAAGCAGCTTTGGTGAGCACGAAACACACAAACGATGACGCAGTTCCTTAACAGAAAACCATCATGTCAGTTTACATCCCCAACCTCAGAGTGGGAATGCTGCTACTTGTCCTCTGTGACCGGCTGCGCGCCCAGCTGTGCAAAATGAGCTGCGGCATTATCACGTCCCGCCACGATCAACCGCTCCTCCGCCTGTGCTCAACCACCTTTTGTTAAGTGGATCTCTTTTCAATACTTAGAGGTGTGTCATGGTCTGCGTGTGCGTTACATGGTGTGTGTGATGTAGAAGATGAACTCCATGTCCATGGCAGTCTGCGGTACACTAGCGCTACCTCCGTGGATGACGGGGATCAGAGCGCTGTCCAGCTCGTTCATGTAGCGCTGAGGGAGGAGCCTGCCTCCGGAGCCAGCCTGGTACTCCACCTGCGAGCAAACACACGCATAAATACTTAGTGTTTCCCACACATCCAGAAGCCTTTATTTGAGCAGTCTGCTCTAAATACTGTATTGTGTTACAAAGATTGGTTTTTACCATATCGGCCTGCGTGGAGATCCGGAGGGAGAGCGAGTTGATGCCACTGGAGGTGAGGACGGCGAGGTGAGGAGTCAGAGCGCTGCAGGTGGCCAAAGCCATCTCCCTCTGAAACACGCTGCAGGACGACAGCACAGACGCGAGGCCGCAGTCTGCGGTCTTGAGCTGGTAGAACACCTGAAGAGATATTCAGACGTTCACACACCTGAACAGTTGACTGGCTCCAAGAGTCAGACAGGACTTTTCCCATTTTATCAAGTGTATGAAATAAAATGGGTGAAAAGAATCAGCTAATTAAAAGACAAACTCACCTCAGTGCATCTGATGGTGCGTCCGTCTGACTCAAACTCGGTGTCCTGCAGCACCTTAACGCTGTGGACGCCGTCCAGAGGTCTCCCATCCACCCCGCTAGTTCTACTGCAGCGTTGAAGGCAGAAAATCACATTACAGATAAACAACAAGTCCATTCCCTCCCTTTGGAGCTCAGTGAGCAGGGAAACAGTCTAGAGATGCAACGATTCATCGAATTGTTGCCAACTATTTTGACTACAAAAGTGATTCCAGCTTTTTATGTGTGAACATTTTCATGTTTCTGACAGTAAAGTGAATCTTTTGTGGGTTGTGAACAAAACAAGACATTTGAAGACGTCATTTAGAGCTTTGGGAATTACTGATCAACATTTTCTGACACTTTGTGAAAACAAACAACTAATAAAATTAATAGAGAAAATAATCGACAGATTAATTGACAGTTAGTTGCAGCCAGCGACGTTTGAGCCATTAGCATTTCCCAACCTACACAATCATTCATTTACCTTGTGAACAATAACTGGAACTGACAAAAAGATTCTCTCTTATTTTTTCATTGAACTTTAAAAGGATAAGTTCACTTTTTTAATACAAATAAATTCCCTTTTTGTGCAGCTCAACACAGAAACACTGTCTGGGGAATCAAGATGAGGGAATGATGTCCTAATAACAGAAAGACGGGAACTTTGAAAGAGACACTCGGTCTGCTGAAGCCTCATATCAGCTTCAAGTAAACTGTGGATCGAGTTTTATCCACTTGAAGCCTGTTACAAAGAGATCTCTTAATGGACATTATGAACAAGTCAAACCAAAGCAAAACCTGTTTCAGTGACCGCAGATGAGTGTTTCAGGCCATCCTACTAAAAAATATGTTGTAATTTAAAAACATCTGAGAAATCATGCTTGGATTAAACACTGTGACCGACAGATAGCTCTGAAGAGGCTTTCCTAAAGCAGGGTACCCCCAGGATTCTCACAGTTAAATTTAGACCCATTTAAAACCATCTAGGATAAAATTTAATGCCAATTTCACTGACATATAATGAAAAAACAGTACGAATTTTAATCCCTCGAAAAATAATTATTTGCCAAGTGACATGAATTTAATAACACATCAGAATCAAATTTAATATACAATAGCTTTTTGAGGTGTGTTTGTACTCTAATAACAAAATGAATAAAATATTTGTCGCATTAACAACTCTTACGCTATAAAACTAAAAACGCAAACTGAATAGAATAATAAAAATTTTAACAAGTGCAGTATGAGTTGTAATAACTAGTTACACCTTGGCTAGATAAGATAACAGTATGTATAGTAATTTCATATAATATGCCAAAGTAAAGTAAATGCCTTTTGTTTCAGTGATTATTCATCCCGTTCTTCTTCTACATCTTGAAAGCAGCGTCGGGCTCCGGTTTGTTTTTTCCTTGTCCCAGTAACAGGTGTTATGTAGAGTTCCGCGTGCCCACCGAGATTTGCGGGCACCTCCAATTTCTGTTGGTTTCATCAATGGTTATAAATAATTCGAATTATGAAGTATATATTTTATGAACGTTTAAAGTAATCAATATTTAATTACACTTCAATTCAGCATAAATATGTGGTGATAACTGCATTTCATCAATGGGCACAGCAAAGTGTCTGGAAAGGAGCTTAAGAGGTGGATGCATAATTCGGCAGAAAAGATGTTGTAGGACGAGATTTGCATCCACGTTTTTTCCTCAGCATATATCTAAAGTTATCTACTGCGAGGTGCTGGCAATTCTCAGCAGGCATGGAGAACTGTAAAGAGGTTTTTAGAAGGTTTTCTATTGTTTTTATTATGATTATTCTCTTTCTTTCTTTGCTAAAAGTGTTTGGGCAGCAAAAACTGCAGGACGAAAACTCACCAAAATTGGCAGGTGGGTTGCAAATTCCACCAGGCAAAAAAAAAAAAGAAAAAGAAAAAGGCCCTCATAGACCTCATGGTGGCGCTATAACAATCAACTTTACGTTTTTGCAATTATCTCGAAAACGGCCTTGTTTAGAGTCAAACTTCCTTCATTATTTTAATCTCTGGATTCATCTGCATCTTTGCTCCAATGGGCTTCTGCTCTAAAAATGTCAAATTACACGACTTTTTAATCACTTTTCTCTAAAACCTATTTTTGCAAACTCGTCCCAGGCGCTTTCACCAATCGACCGGAAACTTTAGCAAGATCATCTACGGACGTCGCTGATCAGTTTCAAGTTTTTGTGTGTCAATCTTTTTTCATAAATTTTTACTTTTGTGTATTTACGTACAATTTTACATAAATGCCCGTACATCAAAATTGGCTTAAGCTATTGTCACCAAACTGACACGTCTGCTCAGACGCTCGGCCCGAGCTTCACAGAGCAGGCCTGGGTTATTCTTCCACTAGGGGGCGCTAAACAAAGTTTATACCTCATAATTTGCTGCATGGATTCATACAAAATTCGGTTTGAACGATCTCTAGGGTCACTACTCATTTGATGCATAAAATTTGGTAATGATTGCTCAAAGTGGCCGCGGCTTATTACAACAAATCTCATTACAAACTTATGCTACAAAAATCAACACAGACATTCTCTCTCAGTTTTGGATCAAAAGCAATCAAAATAATTCACAACACACCCAAAACCAGCAGAATGATGTGCGATTTTGTTTAGAATCTTCTTACCAACATCTTGACTGTTGTAAACGTAAGCGAAAACTATCCGCGACTGTCACATGTGATTTTACTACCTCAACTTGTGAGAAGGTGTGTGAAAACAGCCTCTCACCAGTAGCTCAGTCAGTAAGTCGCCTGCTCTGCAGATCTGAAGTTGCAGGGTTCAAATCAGACTTGATCATAACGGGGGTGTTCAGATCATAGTGAGTCTAAAGTTCTCTATTTTATTTGGATCTCGTGACATTCTCTTCTTATTTTTCTCTGCTTGAAAGTGTTTGTGCAGCTTAAACTTTAAACCTTGCAAACACAAAATGTTGCAGGCGGGTTGAACATTTCACCCAGTAGTCAGGTACATATAATGACTCTCTGATCCTCTGAAAATGTCAAATGTTGCGTTTTTCGCGACTTGATTGGATCCCAATCAGTGCCGCTCTCGGCTGTATTCACCTCTTGTTTTTTTAGCACCTCCTCGTCGCTATGTAAACTATGTCAACTCACAATCACAAAGAGTAATACCAAGGGATGGAAACATCAGATTTTACTACTAGAAACTTTGCAGCACAAAGAGTCCATGTATGACCCGCTGGGTAAGAGAGCGTGTGGCAGGATAAGTTACACAACGTGTGTGCAAATAGTGCGTGTAGTGGGTGCAGTGTCGTTACCCTGTGTTGATAGGTGATCTCCAGTCGACCCAGCGGACAGTGACGTTTTCTCTGAGCTCCCCTCCGTCATTCTTGCCGCAGGGTATGTGGAAGTCTGTCTGCTCCCTCAGGGCACTGCGCAGAGACTCCATGGTCTCTGGAGGGATTTGCACCATCAACCCGTCTGACACAAAAAGACAAAATCAGAGTCAACGTTGGTCCAAGAACAATCAAGCGTTTGTAGAATATGACGCGTGTTACAGTAACTTTACCTTCAACAATGCTGGACTTGGCAATGAAGCCTGAGGAGGCTTTCAGGGCTCCATTGAACACCACAAAACAGGCCCCAGTCACTGTAACAACACACAGACCACCAGAGGGTTAACTACGTATATAAAATACAGTCAAGAGACAACAATAACCATAAAATCATTGAACGTTTGTGATAAATAGGATGATGGCTCTCACCTGTGCGGGTCTTCCCCGGCATGCTGTTGGCCTGGGTCTGATAGTTTCCCTCCTCGTTCTGGAAACACACCAGGTGAGAGTCGGCCTCCGAGCTGAAACGTGCCCCGATACTGATGACGTGCTCGTTGGCTGCATTTATCACCTTCTGCATCTGTAAAACACAGATGACACGTCACCTGTTCTGCACACCTGTGTGTTTGACAGCGCACTGTTTGTTTGTTTTTTTCCATGTAAAGGCTTCATTAGACCATGATGTGGTTACTGGGCTGTGCCAGATGAAAGTTGACAATGGTGAAAGAAGCGTGGGCGTCAATCCAACGCCACAACCCGCATCTACAAAAACTACCACTCAGTGAGCTTTTGCCAGCTCAAGGCACGAAACGCCAGGCAAAAACATTGTTTTTTCCATGCACTGGTCAATATTGAGATTTGGGCTAATTTGCTTCCTTAAAGAGGTGGTTTTATGTTTTTTTCCCTCTGCTTTATTGAGTTTTATATCTTTTTTGTGCATGTAACAGGTTTGCAAAGTGAAAAAGCCCGACGTCCAGCCCAAAGGGAGTTCCCATCTCCCACAGAAGGCTCTGCTCTGAACTGCCTTAAAACAGCTTGTTTGTAGTCCAGCCTTTTCTTACGCTTTCTTGTGATGTCACAAGAAAAAACGCGTCATAATGCTCGCCTAGTGGCTAGTCCGAAACACCCTCAAACACACCGGTGGAAAAACCCACTGAGCTGCAGCACACCGCTCTCCTCTCCCTTCCAAACACTAGCTACCCTCCAGGCAGTCAGTGGACATAAAGTTGTTACTGTGATGTAGAGACAGAGCTCAGTACCAGCTCGACTCGCCTCTACTTGCCCTTTTTATTTTTTCCATTGTAGAAAAGTTGTACCTGTACCTGCTTCCAGGTACATTTTTTCATATCACCTCTGCAGCAATGTGCAGTATGACAAAAAATATGCTGTTTTTTGAAAATTAAACCATGTAAACCTGTTCTGGCACAAACCCTAAATAATAATTTGAAAATGAGAATAATATGACCTTTAACATGTCTTTTTTCAGACTAGTGGAAATAAAACCTCCAAAATATACATGTAGTAGTTTATTTTACTACAGTTTTTCTCTGTGCGTCTGTTGATTTCTCCTAAAAGTTAGCATTCTGCCGCAACATCTCCTATCGCTGATGCTGTCTGCACCATATCATCATGAGTACCGTTCGAAAGCTCTCTCTCTCCAGCACAACGCTGTTGGATCCAAATATGGTCATTTCCTTTGTACCAGCAACCAACCATGAAAGTAGAGGCGGATTTAAGCTAAATGTGAAATCTAATCGCTAGTGTCGATTTCTGACAACATGACTGGTTTAGATGCGTCACGTGGCGCTCTTTGACACTTCCTGGTTTAGCTCGGTCTGTTTCTGTGTTTAGTGTGTGTAATTGTGTTCAGACATGCTGTTACTCAGTTATCAGTTTTAATGTATTTGAGATGTTATATATTGGTGTTCTTAAGGATATGATTCAATATTGGGTCTGTTAATATGGATTTTCACTGGAAATGTGTAGAATTTTCCTCATACTCTAACCCTAAAATCTCCACTTCAGTATAATAGAATAGAATAATGTGTCCAAAAAAAACCCAACACAATAATTTTGAACCTGACTTAATCCAGTGTTCAGATTTTAGTCGTTGAAATAGATGCAAATTAGTACATATTTCATTAGATTCTGCTTCATTTGCATATTTAAACATAATATTTCAGAAAACCTGTAATACAAATTTCAAAAAGTAATCAACTAGGAATGTTTCATGGTGATATTAGTAAAACACCTGCAGTGTCTGGCCTTAAAAGAAACATTAACCACTATCTGTGTGAACAGTGTGCTTGAGCTTTGCCTCGTGTGTTTGTGTAGTCTGTCCTCGTTCCAGGTCTACATGGTAGAGAGGAGGTCGTGTGGCACAGGTCTGTTTAGCGACACCTGAAGTTACTTGACTGCCTCCCACATCCACATTTTTTTACAGCCCGCATGAACCATATTTAGAGTTTTTTCTTTACCGGCTGCCATTTACATTGTATTTATTTTATCCGTTAGGGTTTTATTGTTACTATTTATTTCTACTGTTCTTTATCTATACGCTTATTGGTTTTTGATAACTAAATATATTATTTAAAAAAGAATAAATTCAGAAAAGCTCGTTCTATTGGCTACCTCTGCACATTAGTCAGTGTTGATAGGCTATTACTCGTGACTTGTAACCAATCATCTAGTACTGGGACATTGGACATTGCTCCAGTCCACACAGTGGTGAGCACAGACTGAGAGAAGTGGCTGCAACAGAGCCAAGGAAGCGCTTCTTTTTTTTTATTATTATTATTTTTTATTAATTATATCGGCTATTTGTTTTTAAAATGCCTGATGCAGATTATTTGATAAATTCTGAATATTGGCGCTGATTATTGGTCGACCCCTGGTCTTTACAGGCTTGTTGTACATAGTAATTTGAGATTTTGGTAAAGTTGTTTTTTTTGCCAATGTTAAAAGAGAAGATCGACACCACCCTCATATCTGTACGATATTGATCTTCTCACACAACACTCAGCAAGTGCAAAAAGTCAATTTGTTCTGTGGTTTGCTAGAGTCCCAAAGCTTTAGAAATGGCTTTATTACCTTTTCCAGACGGATAAATCTCAGTTACTCTGTTTCTTGTTTGTTCCTGAATTTCTTTGGATCACAGCATGATGTCTAGCTTTTGAGGATCTTTTGGTCTACTTCACTTTGTCAGGCAGGTCCTATTTAAGAGATTTCTTGATTCTCATCCAACACTCAGGAAGTGTAAAAAGTCAATTTGTTCCTTTACAGCTCTCTTACCTCGTTGAAGCTACTTTTGGGAATGTCAATGTAGCTGTGGCCCATCTCCATGTGGATCCTCAGGCCCTCCACAACTGACAGACTGTACTGGTAGTTCCTCAGGTCCTGTGGGAAAACGGTTAGGGGATTTAAAAGGACTTGAATCTATTTTCACGTTTGCCAATAAGAGGTACCACAAAGACCAACAATGTGCATCTGTGCTATTGTTACTATTGGTTTTTCACTCGCTTTAAGGTCATGCCACAGCATGTCGATCGGATTCAGGTCAGGACTTTGACTAGGTCACTCCAAAGTCAGGATCATTGTCCTCCTGCAGAACCAAAGTGCGCTTCAGCTTGAGGTCACGAACAGATGGCCGGACATTCTCCTACAGAATTTTTTGGCAGACAGCAGAATTCCTGTTTCTATTTACCACAGCAAGTCTTCCAGGTCCTGAAGCAGCAAAACAACCCCAGACCATCACACTACTGCCACCATATTTTACTGTTGGTGTGATGTTCCTTTTCTGAAACGCTGTGTTACTATTACGCCAGATGTAAATGGGACACACATCTTCCAAAATGTTTGGTCTCATCAGTCCACACAGTATTTTCCAAAAGTCATCAAGATGTTTTCTGGCAATACTGAGATGAGCCTTTATGTTCTTTTTGCTCAGCAGTGGTTTTCGTCTTGGAACTCTGCCATTTAGGCCATTTTTGCCCAGTCTCTTTCTTATGCTCGAGTCATGAACACTGACCTTAACTGAGTCAAGTGAAGCCTGCAGTGCTTTGGATGTTGTTGTGGATTTTTGTGACCTCTCGGATGAGTCGTCGCTGCACTCTTGGGGTAATTTTAGTTGGCCGGCCACTCCTGGGAAGGTTCACCACTGTTCCATGTTTTCGCCGTTTGTGGATAATGGCTCTCGCTGTGGTTTGCTGGAGTCCCAAAGCTTTAGAAATGGCTTTATAACCTTTTCCAGTTAATCTGTTTCTTGTGTGTTCCTGAATTTCTTTGGATCACAGCATGATGTCTAGCTTTTGGGGATCTTTTGGTCTACTTCACTTTGTCAGGCAGGTCCTATTTAAGAGATTTCTTGATTGAGAACAGGTGTGGCAGTAATGAGGCCTTGGTGTGGCTAGAGGAATTCAACTCAGCTTTCCAAAGATGTGAAAAACCACAGCTGATTTATGTTTTAACAGGGGGGCAATCACTTCTTCACACAGGGCCATGTAGGTTTGGATTTTTTCCCCCTTAATAATAAAAACCTTCATTTAAAAACTGCATTTTGTGTTTACTTGTGTTATCTTTGTCTAATATTTCAAATTGTTTGATGATCTCAAACATTTCAGTGTACATGCAAAAAAATAAGAAATCATGAAGGGGGTAAACACTTTTTCACACCACTGTATTAAAACATATTGAAAGTTAAAACACAGTGACAGTGGGCATAAAGACACTAATATGGTGCACAATATAGTAATATTTTAGGTTCAGCAAGGGCAGTTCATCGAAAAATGCGTCAACTCGCCACTCGGTCTAAGCAGGGAACAAGCTGCAGGTAAAAACGACCACATAAAGTTTGGGAGTATTTTAGATGGAGACCCAACAACGTGGTGATGAAGCGGCACCAACAGGTAAGGTAAATTCATCCCCGAGAACTTTGTCAAGAGAGCACCGTTTACTTTTTGACAGACTGATGCGACAACTTATCTCAAATTGTCCCACACTTACGCAAACATACATTTGCTGCATATTACTCCAGTGATTAAATGAATCCATGTCAGAACCATTTTAAGTCAAATACTAACGTTAAGATACTGATTTCCATTTAAATTAATCTGCATGTCACAGCAGTATTTTTTCTGATAAGGTAACTGACAAATAGGGTCTGTTATTATTGTTAACACTGTAGTGACATGGAAACACACTTAGACGCACTTAAATATGTCATTAATCTACTAATCAAAAAATAATTGTTAGGTGAAGCCCTGTTATATTGATTTAGGCTTTTTTATTAATTATTTTATTGTAACGTGTTGCACAATAACTATATTAGGGCTGTACGATTTAGATAAAAAGTCATATTGCGATTATTGTGGACAATATCGCAATTGCGATTCGATTATAATAGAACAAATGGTACTATGAGTCTACTTGCTTGATTGTCAAGGAAAACGCACGAAATACTGACATTCTGAAATGTGTTTTCTCAACTTGAACAAAGTTAAACAATAAACAATATTTATAACAATAACTTTAGTAAAACAGATGTAAAACAGAACAAGGGGTGCGTGTTGCTCGATGGAGAAGACGGCTAAAAGTAGCAAATAATGGCCCATTGGATCTAAATCTACATCTGTCCACTGCACAGGCTCTATCCACAACCTGGAGGAGGAACTATTGTACATGAGTGTATTAGTATAATATTATAACATTAAATAAAGAGTATAATGTTCAGTTAATAGTATACTGTTAATATAATGTTAATATATTAATTCCTATATTCATTATAATTTCACATAATAGTATAGCCTACTATTTTACCACAAGTTGAATATTAAAATCATTTACAGCTGTTTCATTTCTGTGGGTTGTTTTTATTTATTTAATCCTTGTATAAAGCAAAATTATCTATATTTGTCTCTAATTTGTTAATGCAAAGAATTAACTTGTCAATTATATTGTTCAACATTTAATAATTTGCTGTAGTACATCAAACTTTTTATAATGTCCCGCCCCATTCAGGCTGTGATTGGTCGGTTGACGTGAAGTGACTGACATCGGCTTTATAGATTTATGAAAAGTTGAAAAACCAAAGGCAGCAATACAGCTAACGTTAACTGGCAAGCGATCCAAAGCAAATGCCAATGGCCATCTGGATGATCCAGAGGAGGAATAGGAGAAGGTCATGTGGTCTGATGAGACAAAAATAGAGCTTTATGGTCTAAACTCCACTCGCCGTGTCTGGAGGAAGAAGGAGGATGAGTACAACCCCAAGAACACCATCCCAACCGTGAAGCATGGAGGTGGAAACATCATTCTTTGGGGATGCTTTTCTGCAAAGGGGACAGGACGACTGCACCGTATTGAGGGGAGGATGGATGGGGCGAGATCTTGGCAAACAACCTCCTTCCCTCAGTAAGAGCATTGAAGATGGGTCGTAGCTCGGTCTTCCAGCATGACAATGACCCGAAACACACAGCCAGGGCAACTAAGGAGTGGCTCCATAAGAAGCATCTCAAGGTCCTGGAGTGGCCTAGCCAGTCTCCAGACCTGAACCCAATAGAAAATCTTTGGAGGGAGCTGAAAGTCCGTATTGCCCAGCGACAGCCCCGAAACCTGAAGGATCTGGAGAAGGTCTGTATGGAGGAGTGGGCCAAAATCCCTGCTGCAGTGTGTGCAAACCTGGTCAAAAACTACAGGAAACGTCTGATCTCTGTAATTGCAAACAAAGCTTTCTGTACCAAATATTAAGTTCTGCTTTTCAGATGTATCAAACACTTATGTCATGCAATAAAATGCAAATGAATTATTTAAAAATCATACAATGTGATTTTCTGGATTTTTGTTTTAGATTCCGTCTCTCACAGTTGAAGTGTACCTATGATAAAAATTACAGACCTCTACATGCTTTGTAAGGAGGAAAACCTGCAAAATCAGCAGTGTATCAAATACTTGTTCTCCCTACTGTACTTCGAATAATGAACCCCACGATGGATATTATAGCGTTTAAAAGCAGTAGCCAAGTTTTGCATGCAATTCTATGGCAAGTTGTTGCCTTTAACGTTACTCGCTCACTGCCCATAAATTACTTTCTGTGGTTTGTACTTATCTGTTTTAAGGGCACATGCGAGAGCCCGTGTGGGCGGAGATAATGAGCTGACTTTAGTGCAAACTGAGAGTCTCACACACACAGCACAAATTTTCTGCTTAAATTTCACACTTTTTGCGGTTATGTAATCGCACATAACGACATCGCAATTGCAATTAGATTAATCATGCAGCCCTAATCTATATTAATGCAGCTCTTCTGAACAAGAATATTACAGATTAATAAAATAGCAGGCTTCTTGGACTTTTGCACCCATGAGAATAAAACTAAAATCAGGGAAGTGTTGCAAAACTTCGGCGACGGCCTTGAACGGCTACTGAGAGTTTTACTAGTCACCAGATGTCACTGTGCCTAAAGCTTCAAATCTTTTTTCTGCAGAAACGCAAAGAAAGCCCCGAACTTTCAGAAGACTTCATCTGCCGATCACGACTAATTCCAGTGAACAGACTTTGGAGCAATGCCTCCTAATGAGATCAATAAGGTCATGCACATTAAAATAAAAAACAACTCAAAACTGATCCTTGAGGCAAACATGTCATACTGCTTAAATTAACTTTGATCCAAAACCACAAGAGCTCTCTTCCTGTTAGGTCGATGGTGTCGAAGTGGAGCCAGATGACGACGCTGCCACAGGACAACACATTTATCTCTTTACAAGAGATCAACTGCGTCAAATGTTTTCAAGCTGGCATTAACTTCATCTGTCTCACAGCTGTTGTGATGATGAGAATAAAAATTTTCTATTAAAAACATTTTAAAGTTTACAGTCAACAAAGCTACAATGACACAATGATGAAGGCCTAAATTCCTTTTCTTTTGACTAAACTTAATAACAAGGCTTCAGCGCCATTTGGGGAATAATCCTAAGTGAATGATTAACAGCAGAGAGGACTTCCTTGGCCACTTAATTAAAAAACTGTTTAAATGTGGTTTCAGTGGGATTACAAACTAAAGTACGTGGCTTTAGTTCTGACAACACTGAGTCACCTCAGACTGGTGGTAACAAAGGCCTCGATCTGCTTGTGTTTTAATACTTACAGCCAGTAAATTCATAATGGTGTGCCCCGTCTCTCGATACACAGAGTCCCGAAAACGCACACTTGTCAACATTGTGGGATACACTGAAAAAGAGACAATATTAAAACTAAAGTTTGTTATCACTACATAAACCATAAGAGCATAAAATTACTAGGTAGTAATACTGTAATTATTCCTCTTAATCTGCAAAATTATAAACAGCTTGTTTACAGACAATGTACAAGGTTTGCTTTAAATACACAGTGTTACATTTTTCATTAAGGGATAATATTTCTGTAAGATAACTTTTGGGCCACAACTAAGAACAGTTTTCATTACCGTTTGGTCAAAAAAAATTCTAACATTTGTTTAATTTCTCACAATCACAATTTCTTAAAGTCCAGTGTTAACATCTTTAAATTTCTTGTATTGTTTGACCAACAGTCCAAAAACTTATTCAGTTTACCATCACATGAAGCAGCAGATCGCCACAACTGAGAGGATGGAATCAGATAATTTAACAATTAATGAATAGCGCTGCAACAATAAATCGAGTAGTTGTTGATAAGTGATTAATCGTTTTGAGCCATTTCAAAAAAACAACATCCAAAGTCTCTGAATTCAGCTTCTCAAATGTGAATACTAATATTTTCTGGTTTATTTACTCCTTTGTGACAGTAAACTTCAGCTTTGGTAAACAGTCGTCAACATTGTTTGCAATTTTCTGGACTTAACAACTAATCGATTATTTGAGAAAATAATCGACAGAATAATTGTTAATGAAAATAATCGTTATTTGTAGTCTTGAATGAATCTACTAATAATCTGATATCCAGTCATTTTGGACAAAATTTTGCATATTCCATCCTCTTTGTTTCTGAAATTAAAAGATCTCAATAGCGTTTAAAACGGATAGATTTTAAATACGTTTTATATATTTATCATATCTTTTTTATCAAATCATATCATTTCTATTTTCTATTTATGATTTGACTTCAGCAGTACTTCAATACCAAGGCAAAATTAATAGTTAATTAACACCTACTTGGCAGTAAACCTGATTCTGATTAAGACAACATGAAACTATACCAGACCACAACGACGGGGACAACAGTGAACTACAGAAAGCCACGCACCGCTGTACTCAGCTCCAAGCCGCAGAAGCAGCCTGAGCGGAAAGACTTTGGCCCAGGGAACCTCCAGCTTCTGGATGAGCACGCCAAACAGGAACGGCTGAGGAGGGAGAGTGAGGCCATCTAGAGGCTGACAGGTGGGAGAGAAGAAGAGCATCCCAGCGTGATCCTTACTGCCCAGAAAACTGCTTGTGAACGTCACGTTGTCCAGCTCCTCTATAAACTTCCCTGCAACACATGATGATGATTCTGTAGTGTTTGTTTTGTGAACGGAAATACAAACACAAACATTCGTTTGCCCGTCTGTGACGTCTAACCTTTTTGGGCTTCTTGGTAAACGTTGAGATAGAGCGTGAAGAGGTCTTTTGGAAGAATTTTTTCTTCGGACAAACACTCCAACAGGAACACCAGCTCTCTCTGACCCAGCGCCTGCAGCCCGTTAGAGCCAAAACACCAGCACTGCCGACTGCAGTCTGAAGGACAAAACAAAAACACAGAGTCTGTGGGAGAGCGCGTGAAGGCATCGATGATTCTCGTTTCTATCTAGTACATGCAGCATGGTTTAAACATCTGAGAAATATTCTACTCACATGTAACCAGTTTGACATTGATGAGCAAGTTCGCGTTCAGAACGAATGTCAGAGGTCGGGGTCCTCCCTCCTCTAATAGGTGCAGTATCTGGCAGGGGGCAGGATTTTCCTCAATAAGAACATCTAAAAAGAGAAAACAGCATTACTGGTCCCATCTGTCAAAGTGACGGCTTTATGTCATTCAGATATACACTACCAGTCAAAATTTGGACACACTTAGAAATGTCCTTGTCTTCTAATGAAAAGCACATTTATTGTCCATTAAAATAATATTAGATTTATACGAAATAAAGTGCAGACATTGTTAATGTTGTAAATGACTGCTGCAAACGCCAGATTTGTAATGGAATATCTACAGAGGCGACTACGTAAACGTTAATTACAGCTCAACTCTGTCATGACACACACATTTATACTGATAGAGCCTGATTCCTGTGCAACATTTGGCTCCTGGTGCATGAACAGGAGCGGTATCACTGAGAGCGCGAGTTGAAAAATAATGATTGTTTTCTATTCTCCCACAGGCTGAAACAGATTTTAAACCGTATTTTGCAATTTAATTTCCTCTTTATACTAAAATTCCTAAGCTTTTTCTCATCAATTTAATCACTGAATTCTGCTGTTTGTTTTATAAAGTCCAACAAAATGCCAATGACATGTTAAGATGGGGCTCATTCAATTTCTATTCACTCTGATTCTGAATACAACGTTTATTTCCTGGATATTAATTTATTCATCCATTTTTATTTATTTATTTTTTACCTGTTTTGCCCAAACCTTGAGGGGAAAAAATATTTTGACAGGTTGAGCTGACATAACACAGAAGTAGAAGAAGTAACGCACCGAACTACGAGATTGTTATATGACTCGGGCAACACGTAAACCAATCAACACATTGTCGTAAAGAGGTGCATGTAGCCTCGTACCTCCTGCTTCGTCCTCTCCGGTGGTGATGAGCAGAGGAGGGAGCTCGTTCTCATTTTCTGGCAGCAAACTGGGAACCCTGCTCACCGAAGAACCGATTCCAGAGAGCAGGGCGTAATCCCAGGGTCCCGACACCGGAGGTCGAACCACCTCTACCGCCCCAGAAGCTTCGGGGACGGAGGAGTAGCCATCGACGCCAACCTCTGACTCTGCTGGGCCAGGCTGAAAACAGAAGCTCAGTCACTGTAGCACCAGTCTCATGATATTTCAATGCTCACAACATAACAATATGTCAATCACAAGGAAGCCCCGCCCTAAAGCCTCCCCTGCTTTCTGGTCTATTTTCCTCTAAATGTGACCATAATTTACTAAATGAACATCATTTAGAAGAAGACTTGAAACTAGCGACTGACACTATAGACTCATTAGGAAAGTGTTTACTGAGGGAATAAATCAGCTGACAAGTAGAAACATTTTCTCACAAACTACAATACAATCTGACTTCTTTTTGCAACCAGTGGAGTCGCCCCCTGCTGGCCGTTAGAGAGAACGCAGGTTTAAGGCACTTCAGCTTCACGTTGCAGACCCGGAGGTTGCCCCTTAGGAAGAACGAACTTTCTCAAAACTGGCTTTGTTTAAGAAGTCCTAAAAACTAAGAATCTTGTGTTTCCCTGCAGCAGGGCTGTGTGGAGGATGTGTCCATGTCTTACTGTTTGGTCTGGAGCGACGCCGCTGAACTCCTGCGAGCTCCTGCGGCTCGTCACCGACAGCTTGGTCGTGTCTGCCACCTCTCCGTTGGGCAAGATGCCATCAGCAAACCACACGCGCTTCTGCTCACGAGGACAACCTGATAACACACAGAAAAAAGAAAGACGTCTTTTCAAGGGTACGGTCCATGAAAACAAACTAAACGAGTTAAGCAGACAAGGCACAGTACTAAAGAGTAGTCATACTGTCGTTGTTTGGCTGTTTGAGAACGGACACGGGCACCATGACGGTCGGTGGAGGAGAGTTAAGAGTGCCGGCGGCTCGAGCCTGCTGCAGAGGGGGGATGGTGCTGCAGTACTCAGATGGGACGTTGGGGTTTGGACTGGGACCCGCAGGACTCATCATCCGCTCCAGGGCCTGAGCTACAAGGAGAAATATGTCCCAGGGTGTGTTAATTTAAGCGCAAATTTCAAGTTAATTGATTAAATCATTTTAATCTAAGTCCTAATGCAAGTTAACTTCACTTTATAAAATTTTGTTTTTTGCCTCACAGGCAGTGTGTCTTTAGGGCAATATTATTTTTGACTGAAATATCTCAATGGGTGGATTGTTATAAATCCAGAGGACGTGTCCTGTTGAGTTCAGTGATCCTCTCGCTTTTCCTCTAGAGCCACCATAAAGTTGATATTTTGTTTATTTCCATGAAATGTGTTACATTCATGTTCCTGTCAGGATGAAGTGTAATAACTTCAGTGATCCCTTCATTTTTCCTCCAGCACCGTCATCAGATCAAAACTGTTATTTGTCCAACACTTACCTGAAAAACAAATAAAATGCAGCTATCTGCTCATAAGCAAATGGTAGCATGTCGATATCCTAAACTAAGAGTGTAAAGTTGATCTGCTAAAGAGCATGTTAAGCTCACATCTAGTTCAAATCACCGCTGTGCCTGTAGCAGCGTTTGAGCTAAATGCTGCAGAGTCTTGTTTTATTGTTTGCTAAAATTTAGTAGCTGATTTCAAGGCTTGTGAGGTCCATTTTCTACTCTCTAGTTAGTCTTTCTTAAAGCAGAGTAGCAGTAGTTTTTTGAAACAGTAATGTTTTTGGGTGTCTGATACACACCTCGGTCCTTTAGAGGTCATTTTATTCAGTCCTTTCTCTTCATCGAACAATTTGCTGGTGTCAAAGAATCAAAACTGCTGAATATCACTGTTAGACTCACCCGAGTTCGGGCTGTGCGATTTGACGATATCTATCGTTTGACAATAGAAAAACATCTATGGTTTATTTTTCGTTGTAATGCAAATTAGTGTAGTTTAAAGTTGGATATTCGACAGACATCTGTTGAATATAAAACAAACTTAAAACTAACTTCACCGTGGGCCATTCTTCCACACGTTCCCGGTGTTACAGGGAAGAAATTTTCATTCAGAATAAACAAGAGAGAGAACTTTACTTAGACCTGGTTATACTGAACAGGAGGACTCGCAAGCAGAAACGAGGAGCTCGTACCAAAGAGAGAAGTCTGTTGTATGGACGACCCCATTCATCGCTATTATTGGTGTCTCAGGTAACGGACATTCAGCTTACTGTCTAGTTCACCGAGACATGCTGTTGTTGTGATGTTAGCTGTAGCAGCAGGAGAGTTGCATCACTGCCTGGAGGCGCTGTCTGCTCTGGGAACGTCCCGTCCTCTGGTGTTAGCTTTGCAGCAGCAAGTAGCGACAGACATATCGCACAGCCCTAACCCGAGGTATCCAAGTGTGTCTGTCCTATTAGTTTTATAGTTTTATGGTTTTATGTTATAAATGTAGCAGGGAACAGCTGCTAATGTTAGGTTTTCCTGTTTGGACTCAATTTTGTCACTGAATAACTATAAATCAAAGTGATCAGATCTCACTTCGGATGAGAGGCAGACTCGGAGGATGCATATGACTGCTAGCTCAGAGGCTTGGCAGAGAACAGTTGACATGTTTACAATGACCACAAGGCAGTGACTACTGTGGGATTACTGTGATGACTAATTTGTGCTTAGGAAGTGAAACACAGAACAATAATGCAGAACATTCCTGTAGCTATATTTTACCGTTTTCAATAAAAGGACTTGAGAAAACTTGTTTTGTGTGGTTCAGTTAACATTTAAACGATATCTCGACTTCCCCTACAGGATATTTCTAAGCTGCAGATGAATTAAGGTTACTGCAAACACTACAGACAAGAGTTGTTCCTTCTGGGAAAAGCTGGCGATGTCTGAGAGGCTTTCTCAATGCCTTCTCATTGCACTCCTAGGAAATGCTGACGCACACGTCCACATTATATTGATTTAGCATCATAGATCTTAATCGATCTGTTGTGTACTGACAACAACCACAGTGTGGCTTGCAAAAGCACAGGAACACGGCCACATCAGGAGGAAGCACACTTCACAATAATTCAGACCCTTGTTAATTGACAAAAAAAGTGCCTTGTAGTCAAACAGCGTCACTATAAGGGGAGTTGTTACACCTTGTTCTGCAAGGAAAGGATGATAAGGCACAAAAAAAAGACACCAAGGTCTTCAAGAGCAAGAAAAAAAATCCATTGATGACGTCATTTTAAGTTCAGCACTAATATTCCTCTTTAAAATCTAGTCCAAATGCTCTGCACAGATTATAAACACTACAATCAACCAACAAAAAACAACAACAACACTATATTAAGAAGTCGGAAGCATCTTACCTCATCATCACTTCTTCTAAATCTTAACCAGTCCACATCTTTGCGAGTCTACTCCTTAGTCTGACTTTAGACACTGCCATCGCAGCTTTCCTGAAGCTGCTCCTCGCTTATTTCCATGAGTGTCTGTCTTGTTGTTAGCCGTTAATAGCCTGTTAGCTTTAGGCTGGGGTTTGTGCGGCAAGCCTCACATCCAGCTTGCCACACTGATATGAGAGATGGAGAGCAGAGGAGGAGGAGGGAGGGAAGGAAACAGAGAGGTGACGGAGAGGAGAGAAGGATCGCGTCACAGCGCTCGAGCATCCACCAGCCACAAAAGTGGATCGCCTCTTTCCTCTTAATTTAGACATGGTGCGTGAGCGTCACATGTCCGCTGCGTTAGGTCCTGTAGCGCACACACACACACACACAACACACACGATCAAGGACAAATGCCAGTGTCCTGCTGTAACACTCCTCCCTCTCTCCTGCCCTCTCCATCCATCTTCCTCTCTCCATGTCCACGCTGCAGTCTAAAACTATAAAAAGGCACTTCCCTGAAACACGTCTTTTATCATCAAAGCAGAAAAGTAAACAACCTTAACAGAAGACATCTGATTTTAAATATATATTTTTTGGACAATTGAGGGACTCTAACATGCTGTTAATGTTCCATAAAAGACACGATTCGTTATGTGAATGTTTGAATTTTTAATAGATGCAGACATGAAAGAAAGCCCCTGAGCCCGTTTGTATTTTTGTTTTTGTATCGTGCTTTAAATATTCATCAACTGCATAATGAAAATGCTGCTGTGTGAATGTGAATTCTGTCTAAAGATGACTCGTCTGTTCCCGTGAGGGGAGGAAACTCATCTCAAAATACAGTTACCCCCATTCAGAGGCACTAAATTCGAGCTCCATTAGCTGATGTTTTCAGTCATGTGTGGGCAGCAAAGCAAGCTGTAAACATTAGACTGACATATTATCACCTGATAAAGTTGTTATGGCAAACAGTTACGTATTTACACATTGAGGAAACACAGAGCAACGTCATCATCCATCTTGGGCCCTGGGTTTCTGACCAATATTCACTCTGCTTTTAACAGTCCTGTTCTGGGAGTAAAAACCAAAACAATTTGGTTATAGACACTAAAAATTAGAGATTTACTGATACTTATATCAGCCAGATTCTGACTCAAATAGCTGGATTGGGTATCTGTGACAAGGGGGGGTGGGGTCTGATCAATCACCGGTAGACCTGAGCATCTTGCCAAGAGAGCTAGTCGAGTCAATTTATTTACATAGCACATTTAAAAACAACAGGAGTTGACGCAAAGTACTTTCCGAGTACACAACACACACAAATACAAGTACGCAGGAACAAAAGAACAAAGAGTATACACCACTGTGTATCCAAATACACAAAAACACTAGTACACCAGTACACATAAAAAAGAAATATAGAGTACTGAATCAAATTCAAAGAAACTACAAGAATATAAATAACAACAGCGTCAGATTGAAATGCTTTGAGAGAACGATTAAAATAATTCAAAGTGGGCCCGACAAAAACTACCTTGTCAGAATCAGGTAAAAGCAGTTAGCGGGGCAGGACTTAAAGGATGGGAGACTAACACAGCATTTTGTTTTACACAGCTCATTCATTTCACACTGGAATCAGATCAGTACTCTGCATCGAGCGATTCTGAAAGCCCAGGTATCGGGACTGACAGTCACTTCGGTACGTCCTTACTAAAAGGATCCATAATGCTGAGGGGGGTCACAGAGTTCTCTGTGACACCTTTAACATTGCACAAAGTCATGATCCATTGTTGCTATAAAAAAGTATTAATTAGTGCAGCTTTAGCCATTCAGTATATGTTGGAAATCAATTAGGGGCTCCCACAAAAAAAGCTTTCAGTCTAGCTACTCTATTATTACTGTTCAGCTTTTTCTACCATTTCCCACTTCAAAACCCGATTGACCCACTCAGTCAATCCTCTATCAGCAAGCAAAGGCACTTCAGAAAAGGAGGGACGTGCTCTCGTTTTAAAATGCACTATGCAAATTAAGTGCCTGCTTTCTGTGCAGCCAATCACCTGTGCAATATGTGTAATATCACTTAAATCATTATATTTAAAGAGCCCTTAAAACAAGTTTTCTAACGCTAGATGTCCCGCCAGGAGATGCACACAGATGAATAATAATCTCTACTGTTTCTTGAAATGATTCTCAGCCGGCAAACAACTTCTGAAGGAGTAAACATTTCTGTTAACAAATACTTCGCTTTCAGAATACTGCATACTATTTTTGGACACCGACAGATCAGCTTGGAGCTCGTCTTTGCTCGCACGTCTGCAGAAACACGTTGAAATCAATTGTCAGCGGCTGAGCCAGATCTGGGATCAGTCCAAACAAGGGTCTTACCTCTGTGTATGGTGTCAAAGCAGATGACACACACACGAGCCTCTTTCTCCAGGTACTTCAGCTTACACTTCCTGTTGCAGCACACGCCACAGTAAACCTGCCACAGAGGAGAGAAGACGGCTGTAACGAGAAGCACGTGCTACAAGGCAACAACACATTCACACGTAAAATACGACAATTTACAGTTTCTCTAAACGTGTCGGCCTCTCTAGTCCCTTCAGCAGCAGTCATGTTGTGATCAGGACCTAAACAGTCCTCTCTAATGCTGTTTTAATCAGCGTTCAGTTTACAGGACTAAGCTCCATCTTTAGGTCACACGGCTCAGTTGGGATCTATAGAAGAGCTGAAAAAAGAAGTGCTGACTCATGCTCTCTGCGCTATATCTGGCCCTGGGGCGTAATCTTTTTTTATCTGACTTCATCTGAAACACGCACCCTTCATGAGGACTTTCACTTTCATTTCACGTTACATATGATACTTTCCCATTCCAATAACACAACAACAAAAAAAACAGCTGTTTTGTTTTGAGATAACCAGCCTGCACTCACAAGGCACCTCACGTTATGATAGATTTCAGTGCTTTACTCCCTTTTTTCTCTGTTGCGGGAACGAAAAGGACTTTTTTTCACAAGTTAAAAGATAGAAGAACATGCTCCTTCATCACCATGAACACACACACCGTATTTATTTATTTATCAAAACTCAATTCCACATACACCGTCCCCAAATACTCACTAGAGCACCAAATGTGGGTTAGTCCACCGCTCAAAGTAGTCCCTTAAAAATGCATTATTTTCTGCTGTTGGAGTAACGTTTGAAAAACAAAACTACAGTGACCAGCTGTTTGAAAACAATTTATCGATTTACCGGGCTGATATCTGGCATTTTCAGTTAATGGGCATCAGCTGACACCTGCACTTTCAACACTGACAAACAGAAAGTGTCTGCAGCAGCCTCGTCACTGAGGTACTGGGGAACGATGTTAGCGCTCCCCTTGTGAGTTTCGAGAAGGTGGTGAAAAAGTCCTAAATGTCCTCAGTCACCATCTTCTTTAACACGATTTTCATAAATGACAGCAAATCTAATCTAACAGATTTGGTGTAACCTGAGGAAACACCTGGACAAGCAAAAAAGCTTACCATGTAGTGCATCATATTAATTAGACAATAAGTCAACTGACAGAACAGGCAGAACCACATTTAAGTAAAATGTGCAGTACAATAAACAGGTGCATTAGAATATTGTGAAAAAGTTAATTTCTTTCTGGAATTTAATTCAATGTATTCTAGATTCATTAAATATAAAGTGAAATATTTCAGGCTTTTGTTTGTTTGTTTCAGGAATCCTGAAGTAAAATTCAATACTTTTTAAAACCTTTTCAACATATTTTAAGACTGCTGCGCCACTTTGAGCTGTAACCGTCAGAAACACACCTTTAAAAGGGTTTTAAGTAAATTTTTATAACAATAACTTTAGTAAAACATATAACATTTAAAAAGAACAAGATGAACATGTTGCTCTCAGGAGGAGGCGGCTAGAAGCAGCACATATTAGCACAAAGGCATCCTGGCTTTAGGTAAATCTACATCTGTCTGCTGCAGAGGATCCATTTACATTTAACATTTTATTCATTTAGCTGACGCTTTTATCCAAAGTGACTTACAATAGCTATTTATGTCAGAGGTTGCTCGCCTCTGGAGCAACTAGGGGTTAAGTGTATTGCTCAGGGACACAATGGTGGACATGTGGTGAGTAGAACCCGTGTCTCTCACACCAAAGGCATGCGTTGTATCCACTGCTCCATCACCACCCCATTATTATTATGAGGATCCATCCACAACCTGGAGGAGAAGCTAGTATAACATCATATTAAAAGTACATTGTTATTATAATAGTAAACTGTTAGTTTGATATTAATATATTCTTTATATGATTATACTATATTCATTATAATACTACTGTATATAGCTTCCCACTATTATAATAGTTTAATTTTGTTTTTTATTCATTAACTTTGTGCAAGAAAAACGCTCTACATGGTGGTAGTTAGTCTCTAACTTTAATTTTAAGTAGCTTACTAATGCGTCAGTAATCATAACTATTTATGCAGAACGCTGACAATTTTTTTTAATGTCCCGCTCCGTTCAGGCTGTGATTGATCTGTTCACGAAAAGCGACACTGACGAGCTCATCGGCTTTATGAACAGTTCAACGCGTTTCAATACAAGGCACAGATGGAGCTGAATAGACAGCCTTCGTTGGCCAAACCCAAACGCTGCTTATATTTTCCCTGTTGGCTTCTGTCTTACCGCGTCACCTGCTGACAGCGCATCTTCCTGTTGAATAACGGGGCTGTTTAAGCGGCCACAGAGCTCAGTCCGACTATGTTTTGAACGATTAGCATTGGGGGTCCAGCGTGGTGGAAGGTTACGGTCGGTTGTGCGCGTAAATCACCCCGCGGACACCCTGTTCTTGATGATTACAGCATACATGGAAATCAAAATCTATATCTCAAAATATTACAATAAAAAGTTATAATTCCCATCAATTCACGAGGAAAAAAATGAACTTTATCCCGATATTCTAATTTTCTGACATGCCCCTGTAACACACTCAGTGAAGTGTCAAAGTGTAAGCTGACTAACACACCTTCCCGCAGGCTCGACAGTGATGCCGCCTCTTGGTGAAGGTGAACCTCTGGTAGCAGTTCATACAGTTGGGAGCTTCTGAGTCTGGAACCCAAGCAGGCTGTCTGCTGCCCAGCTCCTCCACCCCCTCTCTCTTCCAATTCACCGCCCTGGCACCATCTGTGGGCGGCTCGCCAGGGTAAGGTGGGGGCTCTGAGAGTTCATCATACCCCACACTGTAATCCGGATGGTCCTGAGTGGCGTACATAGGGCTCAAATCCCTAATGTTGGAATGCTCCTCTGTAAGACTGGGGCTTGCGGGGGAACTCGGTTCATCCTCTGCTGTACTTGGCCCTTGTGTAGAAAGTGTCTGAGCCTGCTCTTCTCCTTCTTCCCCCGCTGGTGGAGATCTAGCTGTGTGGCAGTGTAGCTGTTTAGGTCTTGCACCTCCATAGGAGGGCTGCTGATCAGGGCTACTGCTGTGCTGGGACTGGAAAGTGTTGCTGGTCAAGGAATGGCTTTCCCCAGAGGAGGATTCTGGCTCTTCATGGCTTAAGTCCTGCAAAATCGAAGGAGCACCGGTGTTAAACCTTCCATTTACAGACACACCCATTGTTCTGTCACTTTCTGGAGAAGCCAGGCCCTCTAGATCCTCCCGACCACAGCTCCTCAGCTCCTCTTCCACGAGCCTGCCCTCCAGGTCTCCGTTTGCTTCAGAGAAACTCTCGGGTCGAGTAAAATCTCCAGAAGTGCTGCAATAAGAGACGCCTCCGCTCTGCTCTGCTTCGGCGTGCGCCTGCAGGAACGCGTCCAACTCCTCGTCTGTAACCAGCAGCTCAGCCTGATCGCTCTCGGGCAGATATTCAAAGCCAAACTCGGGAGGATCGTCTGGGCTGGGCTCTGAGCGATCACAGGAGGCGAGGTCTACAGAGGGAACAGCAGCAGCAGGTTCGAGAGAGACACGCTGCCCCTCTGGAGACACCCTGCCCTCTGCGATCTGCTGAGACACAGGCGAGTCGACGGGTTCCTCTACACAAGATGGGATGTCCTCACTGGCTTCCACGGCTGACAAGGAGTCTGCCTCTGTGCTCTCAGAGACGTCTGCTTCAGCACACTGCTCTGCAGCTGCCCCCGACTCATCTTCTGTAGTCCTCTGGCTCACCAGAGCTGCACACATGGACACAGCTATGGGCAGACATGATAAACCCAACTGTTTGCTGCCTGAGGCCCCTGAGTTTAGACATCCGGGAGACTCTGCCTCACCTTCATCTGAGGCTTCTTCTGACTCATCCTCTTTACTCACTGAGGTTGTTGTTGTTGTTTCTTTAATGCTATCAACAGGCAGAGTTGCCTCCAATTCACAGTGGTCTAAGGGCTTATCCGCCACCTCCTTGCAGTCTCTCTCCTCTCTGTCAGCTGACTCAGTGGTCATCGGTGACAGTGAATCATTTGTGGACTCACAGCCTCTCTCCACTGCGGCAGGCAGAATGACGTCCAGCAGACTGAGCGAGGCAGAGTATTCGCCGCTCTGCTCGTGGGAATCTAAACCCGGCAGCTCGGCCCTCGCTGCAGAGTCTCTCTCTTCCTCTGTGTCTCTACAGCCGGCACTTTGGCTTGGCCGTCCATGCTCAGTGATCACAGGGCTATCAAAGTCCACAAGCAGCGCCTCCTCCTCCTCCTCCTCCTCCTCCTCCTCCTCCATTTGCTTTTCCACCATGTCCAGCTCGCTGAAAGCGTTGTGGCTGTTGGCCCGGACAAGGATGGCTGAGCTCGTGTCATTCACAAGGTCACACACCGGCTTCAGCGCTCTATCCGGGCAGGGAGGGGCCAAACTCTTAGCTGGCCTGCGATCCACAGAGGAGAGAAGGTCCACTGCGGTGAGAGGCTGACCTCTGACCTCTCTGTCATCAGTGCTGCGGGTCTGACTGCTGGAGCGGTCAGGACAGCCGGTGGCAGAACCATAATGAAGAGAGTTGAGGTCAGGGAGGTTTGGTGGCACGGTGGACGCCTCTGAGGGTAAACACTGAGAGCCCAGTGAGGAGAACGGGTACACAGACGGCTTCAGGAAAACAGACTTGCATTCATGTTCCTCTGTAATAAAAAAAGGAGGACAAAAAGTTAAATTCAGATATTCTTTAAAAGACCATATATTTATTACTGATTTATAAGTAGTATAAGTATAAGACAAACACCAAAATGTCTTTCTTTTTACAATATTTTCAAAAGGCTTTTGCAAGAATTAAGACACAAAAAAAGTGCATACAAAATTAAGGCAAATACGTCCACTATTTTCAGTTTTGCTAAAGTGAGGATTTGATGCTTTTCTCTGTTCTATAATTTTGTATAAAGAATAGCATGAATTTTTTGTTTTTGGTTGGACAAAACAAAATATTAAAGAAAAGGACTTATTTCGCTTTTTATGACATCTAACAGTCATCTAACAATAGGCAGATTAATTGAAAACAAAAAGGAAGGATAAACCAAACAAACGTATATCTTACCAGTATTGAGCTCAAAGTCATCAAGCAGTTTGTCCAGATCACATACAGCTGCCTTGAAGAAGCTGTCCATGCTGGGCTAAAACAAAGGGCCCTTAACCCTCTCCAATTCCTAAAAAGATAAATAAAATACTTGTTGTAATTCCACATGTAACAAACTACACTGAATATGTTTATAGTAACGGATTAATGCAAACAATAACACAAATGCAAAAATGACAAACTGTAGTCATACAAAAGAAAAATGTCTAAAAAGCTGCAAATATATTCAAGTGAAAAACTAGAGATGCACTGATTGCAATTTTCTTTCTTCCTAAGAACTAGATAGTCGACAGCATACAGAAACATTTTCTTTATTGGTAAATTCTTTCTTTCTTTCTTTCTTTCTTTCTTTAGCACCAGCAGCATAAGCATCAGCTATTCTTACATTCAACTGTATGTTCATAATAAAACACTGGCTATTACATAACTTTTATATTTTCTTCAAAACTGCAGCTGGTTACTAAAATCTGCTCTCATCAAACAGTGCTTCAGGTTTTTGTACAAATAAAATCTAACTGAAAATAAACTGCAGGGCCCTTTTTCACATATGTTGGTTTTGAACAAGTTTTCAATCTGTGCAGTAGATGCTTCAGCAGGCAGCTGAACCGGTTGCAGTGGCAACCTTCGGGGCAATAGCGCCCGTCAAAATGCCGTCCACAAAAAGTTCTTCTTTTTTCCACCAACTGGCTCAGACTGTTACACCAGGTGTCTCACAACATCACGGAAATGATCTCTACGAGGGCCAGCCTTTGTTTTTTTTTGCGTAGTTACCACATCTATTTTGTAATTTTAAATTAGCCGTGTCTTTTGGAAGTCAACAGATGACAAAAGTGCAGGAACAGAAAACATCTCTGGCTTTAAGTTTGGTCTACTACCTTTTTCCTCACACAGACCAGTTTCACAGCAACCATGTAATGTTGCATCATGTGATTTCTCAGCTTTAGACGGGCTGCAGCTCCTCGGCTGAGCAAAATGCAGCAAGTGCAGCACGACTGAGAATGAAGTTTTGCCAGAGGGAAATATTAATGTTTTTTTTTGTCAGCCAATAAAAGGAAAACAATATGACACAGTAGTCTCAAATGTCCTAATCTCATCTTCTGCGCATCAAAACAAGCAATATTAAGGGAAGATACCTGCACGAAAGACTCACATAATAAAAAATAATGATAATGAGTTTTGTGGCACAGTGGGCCATCTCCCTGATCCCCCGTCCGACAGCTAACTGCTGACACAACAACACCCACGGGGCTTCTAGCCTCTGGAAATGCAGATCGATGATACTGTCACTCCCACAAAGATCAGCTTCAAATCGCACAACCAACGTTATATTCAGCAGTCCCCGAGCCGAATCCTTCTTCTGCATGATAAGACAAAGAGGTCAACAGGAAAAGCCAAATTCTCCTCCGGTTAAATTTTAGGAAAGCATATTTCTAGAGTGGTAGAATATAACTCTCTGTTTAAACTGATAGAAAACATCAAACATGTTCTAAAATCAGCTGCTTGATTAAAACAAGTCTGAATGCTTATTACCAAACACCTTCTTGTACAAAAATGGCAAGTAGTCACCTTTAAAAGAACGTTTAAATCCATAATTTATGTGTGTACAACTGCTTGTGACAACATTCTCCAGACAACCCTATTCCTGTGTGTCTGAGTAGAAAAGTACTGTGGACTTTAACACAGAAAACAACTGATGTAGTCTCTAGATAACTAGAGAGATAGATAGTTAACTTTATTAATCCCAGGGGGAAATAAAATTATCATAGCAGCCAGATATTTAAAAGTACAAAAAAAAAAAAAAACATAAATAAGTGCATAAATACAAGTCCCAGTTTAATAGATATGATATGAATAGCCCAGATATGATCAAGAGCAGGGTGTTAAAATACATAATAAAATAATAATAATAATAATAACTGTCTAAATCAAGAGGCAGCAAGTTGCAGTGGCTCCACAACACAAAGGACAATAAAGACTGCTAAAAATATAGAGACGTTTCCTTTTTCCAGAAACTCTTTGTACTGCTGTGTCACACGGTTTACTACGTAGGATAAATGTGGACGGGAATGAGGAAGCGAGTCTTTCTAAATAAGCAACTTACGTTTAATCACCAGACTAAAATATGCACTTCCTTTGGAGTTACATATTGTTATTAACATCTGATATTTCTCAGACAATTAAAAATAATAAACTGGCTGAAAGGACTTCTCCAACTTTCATAAAAATGTTACACACCAGGTGACAGTGTCTCTCTAGGGAGGGGAAGCTCTGAAGTTAAACAATGAGAAACTATTGAGGAGGTGAAACAAGTATCGTATCTCATATATGTTTTACTTCAGTAACAGCAGCAATAACATTCTGCAAATTACTCTGTTACAAGTAAAAGTCCCACATTTAATATTTCACTTAAGGTACAAGTACTATCAGCAAAATATACTTAAAGTATGAAACGGCAGAATAGCCCCTTTAATTTCTGGCCACAGCTATTGGTGGAGCTAATTTCAACTTCTTTATACACTGTTGGTTAGGTTAACCTCCAACGATGCATTGTATTTTATAAATTGATCACATGTATTTAAAATTATTATCAGATTTGTTGCCAATTTGTTTTTACACATGAAATGAATTTGTAGTAGTGACTAGGTGTGCAACAACAATCAACATAAACTTATATAAATATAAAGATATCTAGAAAATATGAGATTTATAGGATATAAAAGTATTTACATGTGCAATAAAAGAATCAGAGTCAGATCTGATATGTTGTGCAAACATTAACGAGGCCAAAAGTCAGAATCAGTGGGGTTCCTGGGCCTTGCTGAATAATAATAATAATAATAATAATAATTAAATAAGCGTAGTTTTAAGCTAAAAGTACTGCAGTAACAGGTAAAACACTTCCCTGAAATGTATTGAAGGAGAATTACAAAGCAGCAAAAATACTACTTACTTACTTACTACTTACATACTTGCGTACAAGTACCTCAAAACAGTACTTAACGATAGTACTTAACAGTAATTCACTACTGGTTTTGACTGTATATTACTGGCCACGAGTTCTGCTATGATACAACTATCAAAATGTGCGACTCTCGCCAAATATTATGAGGTCACAATGTTAAATAACAACTATCAAACACCTGATTGTAACTTTAACCTGGTATAATAGATGTTTACTGTTGCAATACAGCAAAACAAAAAGGTCACATAATGTGACAGGCAACACATACCGCCGTAACACCGATGTAACACCGTAGCAAGCTACAGTTTAAAGTAAATTTAACGAGTTTATCCTCTTTCCTGCCCTTTTAAAGAGCGTTTGGCTTGGTGTCAACTTTCCAAGTAGCTTATCACATCAGAATCCACAAGAAAAAAAGGCAGCTTGGGTGACATGTTTCAATGTCAACAAGAAGGCAAACGGTTTATTTAGTGACCGTTTAAAATCTTTACAAAGTTAGCAAACAGGCTAACTAGCCCTAACCGCATTTCCCCACAACAAAACACACTTCAACCTTTAGCTTTGGTGTTAATTATATAGCTGCCTTTATCCGACTGTTTAACACTCTTAAACCTTCAACCATCAGTAAACAGCACGTTGTTTGTCACCTAAAATTAACGTGATTAAAGCAGGTGCTAGCTGAAGTTAGCCTGTCAGATTCTTACTGAAAGCGTTAGCCGGCTAATGTAGCTACCTGGGGTTTGTTTCTGAATTCCTTACCAGCACTGTTTTTATTCCATAACCCCGACGTTGTCCTCAACAAGTACGCTCATATTCCGGTTTTAAAACGGGAACAGACGTCGCTCGTATCGATGTGTCATCTCTCTGAGGCTCAGGCAGGTAAAGTTGCTCGGGGGAAAGCTAGCTGTTGGGCTTAGTTTCTTTTTGGAGATGTGTAAATTCTCCACTCAGGCGGCCATCTTGAACAGGGAGGTCACAGGATCTGCTCGTTGGGAAGCCAGTCTGCAAACCACAAAACTGCAACCATGCGGGATTACAGATCACATAATTGGTGGTAATTTACTTATTTAGGGACAGAAATATTTATCTGTACAAACACATTATAGCAGATGAGCCCACTGAGTTTTCCTTTAAAGGTCTTTGATATTAATTATGCATTCCCTTGATAAGTTGATGTATTTCTAGGAGCTTGTATCCTACAGAAATTTAGTTTTAAATTTATATACACCCGCATTCACTGTTGAACTCAAATTCATCCTCAGCAGTGCTCCATTGAATATAGTTTATTTCTATTTGGATTAGTGTTTTTGGATTACCGCATATTGTGTACTACAAAGCAGAAGGGAGTTACAAACTTAATTTCACCTTACAACCTGTTGTAATGTGACAAATAAACCTACTTTGTACCTTGTCAGAGGAAAATATCTTACCATCTGTTGCTGTGTGTAGATACAGTTTAAATATAGTGCAATACTCTGCTGCTACTATTTATTCCTTATTACTGTTCATCATAACAATTCCTTTAATTATGTAAATACTGTTTCATAACAATTCCTTTAACTGTGTAAACATTATACATATCCACACTTATTATTTTATTTTATATTGTTACTCTGATATTTATATACTTCTCTATATACCACTATCTTAATTACTGATCTTTGGAATTGTAACACAGAATTTCCCTTTGGGGATCAATAAAGTATTTCTGATAAATATGACCTTTTTCCTTAATGTTCAATAATTTAAATGTACTTGTTTAAGTATAAAGATTAGCGCACCACTTCAGGTAAAAGCCTAGTCCCAGTAAGACGCCTGTCCCTTTTACTGGCCTGGTGTGGCCACAGATTTTGACATATAAACACAGGTCTCAATTAAAAGCCTGGTGTGTTTTTATAGAAGTTCTCTGGATGTATAAAACCTCTGAAAGCCCACCGGGTTGCCTGTTTGAGCTGGTTCTCAGCTGCTTAGATCACACATATACAAATATAAATGTTTAAACCTTTGTCAATATGGATGCTACGCATCATTAGTTTAGTTAGGTTTTCCATAATTCAATCATTTGGTTCATTTGACAGAAACAATGAGCACCAAAGTATTGTTCATTCAGATTTACTTGCATGGTAAAGAATTGAAGGCCTGTCCCAAATATAGGCAGGGTGAGTTCAGTAAATGAAGCAAATACATGACTGGGATGTTAATTAAAGTTTTACGGTAATTCCAAAGTCATAATTTGACTCCAATGGCTTTGGAAATATTCTTTTTACTTAAAACTATTCCTGAGCACCAGCAGCGAAAATAAGTAGAAGTATACTTATAGAAGTATAAGTAGAAGTTCGGTAGGTGGATTTAGTCTTTTTGAGATGAATGTGTTTAAATCTCCCTCAGATTACCTACACATGTTGCTGGATAAGCAGCTGGGAGGATGAGTGACTATTATGACTATTAAATGAATGAGCTGGTTCTTTCCATGAAGAAGACGTGTTTCACACCAGGACATCTCTCTGTAGAGACGCTCCTCCCATAACAGGCAAGCTGACTTCATGCGGCTCCATTAGGATCTCTCATTCAAACTCTCTCATCTCTCTCCAGCTGATTCTTTTCAAACTAAATACGTCACACAAAACTTCCAGAGTCCGTCAGCTGAACTGCGTCTTCTCCCCAAACACACAGATGTCTGCTAATCAAATACAATCCAGTACAACAGCAGAGGAAGTTAGAATGAGATGCTTGAAGTGTTTTATGAATTTTCTTTCAGCTGAAGATATTTAAGAGTATCTTTTAAAGGAATTAAATCCAATAATGGTTCAAAGTGATCCTCGTAAAGCTCAAATAAGAGGACCAGTTCTAATCTAATCTAAAAAAAGTGGATAGATTTGAGGGTAACTGTGATGGGGACGGGGATAACAGGAAAATTACAATTTAATAATCTTTTATTATGTCAAAAAAAATAAGGTCATTATTGAAAATTATGATTTAAAAATGGGACTCTTGAGATTTCCCTCTGAACACTATAATTACTGTATGAGATACACTCACCAGCCACTTTATTAGGTACACCTTGCTAGACCCACTTTTCCCTTCAGAACTGCCTTAATTCTTTGTGGCACACTTTCAACAAGGTGTTGGAAACATTCCTCAGAGACTTTGGTCCGTATTGACATGATAGCATCACGAAGTTGCTGCAGATTTGTTGGCTGCACATCCATGATGTTTCATGCTTCACCACATCCCAAAGGTGCTCTGTTGGATTAAGATCTGGTGACTGTGGAGGCCGTTGGAGTTCAGTGAACCTATTGTCATGTTCAAGAAACCAGTTTGAGATGATTTGAGCTTTGGTGCATTATCCCGCTAGAAGTAGCCATCAGAAGATGGTACACTGTGGTCATAAAGGGATGGACATGGTCAGCAACAACACTCAGGTAGGCTGACGTGTTTAAACGATGCTCAATTGGTTCTAAGGGGCCCAAAGTGTGCCAAGAAAATATCCCCCACACCATTACACCACCACCACCATCCTGAACCGTTGATACAAGGCAGGGTGGATCTATGATTTCATGTTGTTTACGCCAAATTCTGATCCGACCATCTGAATGTTGCAGCTGATATCGAGGCTCATCAGAGCAGGCAACGTTTTTCCAGTTTTCTGTTGTACAGTTTTGCTGAGCCTGTGTGAACTGTAGCCTCAGTCTCCTGTTGTTAGCTGACAGAAGCGGCACCTGGTGTGGTCTTCTGCTGCTGGAGCAAGTCTGCTTCAGGGTTCGACATGTTGCGTGTTCAGAGATGGTAATCTGCATACTTTGGTTGTAACGAGTGGTTATTTGAGTTACTGTTGCCTTTCTGTCATTTCAAACCAGTCTGCCCATTTTCCCCTGACCTCCGACATCAACGAGGCATTTTCGTCCACACAACAGCGGCTCACTGGATATTTTCTCTTTCTTTTTTCGGACCATTCTCTGTAAACCCTGGAGATGGTTGTGCGTGAAAATCCCAGTAGATCCGCAGTTTCTGAAATACTCCGACCATCTGGCACCAACAACTATGCCACGTTCACAGTCACTTAAATCCCCTTTCTTCCCCATTCTGGTGCTTGGTTTGAACTTCAGCAAGTTGTCCTGACCACGTCTACATGCCTAAATGCATTGAGTTGCTGCCATGTGATTGGCTGATTAGCTATTTGAGTTAACAAGCTATTGAACAGGTGTACCTAACAAAGTGGCTGATGGTGTTTATTACTTTTATTACATATTTATAACATACTTAGCCTACTTGACATAGACTTGTGGGATGGTGGAGGAAACCACTTTCTAAGTTCATGTTTCCCAAACTTAGGGTGCGGACCCAAAATGGGTTGCAGACCTATTTTTAATGGGTCGCCAATTGGCAGAGGTAAAATGCATCACAATGATTCAAAATGTAAATATGTGTATAAGCGCTCATTTCTGCTACACTGCTCTGTTCAGATCAGATGCTGTGTGAGGTTTTCGCTCTCCCTTCTCTCTAACCTGATGTGCTGTCCATATTCATACAGAATTTTTATGTCCTTAGTCTGCGATCTGTTACGGTCGATCCTATGATGTCGAAACTAAAGTACAAGCACCAGTTTATTTATGTTGCCTCAGTGGATAAGATTCGGGGAAGTGCTCAGTAATGAGAGTTTTAAAATGAATAAATCAGACAAATATAGGAGAAAGTCCAAAGCATTATTTTTTCTTTGCAAAGATGTGTTGATTCAATTTCAAACCACATAAATTGTGTGAAACTGTCTTTTTCGACACTAGCAGACCTGAAAACAAATCGGCCAAAGATCAGCTGGTGGAAAATATTAACCAGCCACATGCTTCTCATTAGCTTCAGCTTCAGTGAGACACATTAGTGAAGCCCTAAGCGCCCATCCATTCAAATATTTTTTTACTCCCATGATAACAGGGTAATTATCTCGTGATCTCAAGATGACAAACCATAGCTGAATTCAGGAGTCGGCAGGTGTGTTTCTTTAGGATAATTTCACTGTCACTGGTTAGCTCAGTTGGTAGAGCACAGGACTGGTATTCAGAGGATTGGCTGTTTTTGTATCCTCCTCTTCAACAAAGTTGTCATGAAGAGATTCAGGGGAATCTAATCACACTTTTCCCGACGGCTATTTCAAAGGTTCCGAAATAGCCGTCAGGAAAATGTGTAACGTTAAATGGATTCCCCGGAACGAGAAGCGCAGGAATTTCCTCTGCCTGGGAATGATGGGTGAATGAAAAGTCCATAGGTTGATGGATGTGGACCAATTGCCGGGATGCACACAGTCCAGCACGTGCTTTATTGTGAGCATGTGAAACAGTCTCTTCATCAGAACTTTGTTCTTATGAGACGTAACCCTGTGACGCCTGTGCTCTGCTAACTGACCTAACCAGTGACACTAAAAAACACTTTGAAAGTAAGTTATCGGAGTAAGAAAAATGGATGGCCGCTAAGGAGAATACACCATTGTTGTTTTTGAAATCCACCTGCACATAATACTTATTCATTCCAGCATTGTTTGCACTCATCACACTGTGTACATGTATGCTTGTGTGTGTATGTGCACCTATATATCACATCCACCTCCGACATGTCTGTTTTGTTTATAGTGTGTATATATATGTGTTCTCTATAGTGTAGCCTGTGTTTGGTTTCATTACTCTATTATTGTGTTATTGTAAGTAAGCGCATCATGAGCAATGTACAATCCAGAGTCAAATTCTTCATATATGTACACATACCTGCCAATAAAGCTGATTCTGATTCTGAAATAAATACATTTCATATGCATTTTAAATTCAGGGTTTGTGTCCTTTATGTGAAAGTATATAAATGACGATGTATTTTTGTAAATGTGGGTCCCAGGGAGACGGGGCGGATTTGTCTTTTGGGTCTTGAGTTGAAAAAGTTTGGTTTGCTCTAAGTGGTGTGTCACGCTGTTTGATCTCCAGGCCGGCAGGGGGCGCTGG